AATATGTCGGTGCTAGATATGGCAAGAAATGTAAACATTTTTTTTCGATTTCTCTGAAACGGAGCAAAAACGAGCATATGTCTATAGGACTTTTTTTCTTAGTTTTTTACTCCTCTACACGCTCCCGAAGTTTTGCGATTTAATTTGGAAACACCCTGTATAATATATATTTAAGATATATTTAATGTATATTTATATTGCAATATAATAAATATATTTTCTGATTTTTTGTCAACATTCCATAATTCATTTCTTACGACTTTTGCTTTGTGCACAATTATCCGACGCGCGAGAAATTTTTTCGCTTTTCCGTTTTTTTCCTTTTTGCTAAATACAACCTTATTGAATGAAAATCTGTTCAATATGAGGATACGTAATGGTAGAAGAATGTTTATTGTTTCTATTTCCATACTTATATCGCTTTGAACTTGGAAAACCATTCCAGGACAATAAATTTCCCTTAGGTGCACACAATTCACTCACTTTCCCCTAATATGCGTTTGAAAACGAAAATACTTTATCTCTCTCCTTAAAATTAAAACTTTGTGAAGTAATAATCATAAAAACTTACACACAAAATACACACATTCGTATATATAATATGAATATTTTTAATGAATGTACTAGGTTCTTTCAAACTAATTATATACAGGGTGTTCATTAAGTCGCGGACCGGTCTAATATCTTTTGAAAAAATAAAAATTTCGAAAATCGCCGAAACACGTCAAACGAGTTTTCAAAAAATCTATCTTTTGCGGGGGGTTGCAACCCCCCAACCCCAAGAGGGTGCGGGGGGCGCGAGGGGGGAATAAATTCTTAAATAGGAAGGGGGGTCGAGTGGGGGCTCGTTTGAAAGGTCTTTTCGAGACGAATTCAAAACACTATGCATAGATGGCGCTGCGATCATTTTTCGCAAAAATATTTGAGTTTTAATATTTTTAATACCACCGACATTTGCATTACCCAATGTACACCACGTGGAGGTTGCTCGGTTGGATTTAGTACATTGTGTAGCCCTGAAAAGGACTGATTTTATGTAAAACGATCATTTTTTTCTCTTCGGGGTGCTTGATTATAGTGAGTCCCCTTGATTCTCACTTGTGCGGTTGGTACATATGCCAGTTTATCACTTATAACAAATGCTCAAATTGTCTGCCCTCCTCTGCTTGACAATGAGCTAGTCGTAATGGAAATGCGTCTCTCACATTCCTCAACATTTCGACAGTTATTGTATTCATTTCATTAGTTATTCGCTGCTTCAAATCTTTAATGTTGACAGGTCTTGTTTTGTAAACTCGTTCTTTTAAGTAGCCCCACAGAAAATAATCGAGAGGTGTCAAATCGGGGGATCTTGGCAACCATTCAATTGTACCACGTCTTCCTATCCATCTATGTGGGAAGTTTTCATCTAAAACACGCCGTACACGCAACGCAAAATGTGCCGGTGCCCCATCATGCTGAAACCATAATTGATTGAACTCATCATTAGGGTAAAGGTTTCTAATAGCGGGTATAATTTGCTGAATTAGCATAATTTCATACGCTTCAGCGTTGAGATTTCCAGCAAAGAAAAAAGGCCCGATTAAATGCTCTCCTATTATTCCTGCCCACACATTTGCTTTAGCGAGATATTGGGTTTTATCATCTCTCATCCAGTGAGGATTTTCAGTGCTCCAATATCGAAAGTTTTGATGATTCACATTTCCATTGATTTGAAAAGCAGCTTCATCTGTAAAAATAATTTTACTTGCAAAATCGTTTCCGCGTTCCTCAATTTTCTCACAAAATTCCATCCTCCGATCTAAATCTTGACCAAGCAACTCTTGAGTATGGTGTAATTTATAAGGATGGAACTTCTGATGTTTTAAAAGATTATGAACGCCACTTATGCTAATTTCATTTTCTGCAGAAATTTGTCTAATAGACGCATGAGGATTTTCGACAAAACTCTATAAAATTATTATACTGCTATCGTCATCGAAAACAGTCCTAGGTCGTCCACTGCGTGGACGATCTTTTACGCTTCCGGTTTCGATAACACGCTCAATCGTTCTTACTACTGTCGATTTTGAAATTGGATTCCGGTCGTTAAATGTTGCATTGAACAGGTCGCAAGTTTCTTGAAACGACCTCTGCTTATCGCCATATCCTCTCATCATTAACAGATAATTCCGTTCTCTTTCTGTTAATTTTGCTATCATGTACTACCTAACTATCTACAATTATTATTAATCCAACCAAGCAACCTCCACGTGGTGTACATTGGGTAATGCAAATGCCGGTGGTATTAAAAATCTTAAAACTCAAATATTTTTGCGAAAAATGATCGCAGCGCCCTCTATGCATAGTGTTTTGAATTCGTTTCGAAAAGACCTTTCAAACGAGCCCCCACTCGACCCCCCTTCCTATTTAAGAATTTATTCCCCCCTCGCGCCCCCCGCACCCTCTTGGGGTTGGGGGGTTGCAACCCCCCACAAAAGATAGATTTTTTGAAAACTCGTTTGTCGTGTTTCGGCAATTTTCGAAATTTTTATTTTTTCAAAAGATATTAGACCGCTCCGCGACTTAATGAACACCCTGTATATATCCCATCTTAAAAATGACAAACTTTCTTTATAAAGTATTCTATCTAAACAATTTGTATATTTTGTTTCGAAGAGCGTTTAAGAAATATGAAAATCATTTAAATCAATGTCACGGCACTTCAGCAGGGCCGTACGAAAAGTAAATGTAAGGTCCTACCTTTCCATAAAGTTCCTATTAAAAAAGCTTTAAAGGGTTTAGAAAATATAAAAAAACAGCATAATTAAAATTATACATATATATTTATTTAATTATATATTATTATTTATTTTATTATATATTATATACACTGCTCAAAAAAATTACAGGATCACTTCTTCTCGGTAAATTTTTGCCCATATTTGAACTGTAACTACTCAGCGAATAATTAACGTAAAAAAAATTTAAAAACGATTTTGCAGGGCAAACTCTGTACTATAAGGTGCTTTTATTCAATTTTTATTCAGTATAATATTTAAAGGCGTGGTGAGCTTTGAATAGGAACATATTTGAGATACCTAAAATCTTAAAATTTGCAGATTTCCACCGACTAATAAAAAAATTGCCGAATGTAATCATGGATATCATCTTAAAATATGGACTTTGCACTTTCAAATGAAACAAAAACTTTGTCCTACACCGATTATTTAGCGAGATATGACATTTTAAAGTAACACCTGATTTTTTATGGTTTCAGCATGATACCGCCCGCATTTGCATAACCCGATTTACACCACTAGGAGGTTGCTCGGTCGGATTTTGCACATCATGTGTGTGTGTGTGTGTGTGTGTGTGTGTGTAGATTTTTTAATTTTTTTTTTTAAGAAGTGTGTTGCCATCTTTTCACCATATAACCTCGCGCAATCTCAATCTTATATTGATGCACCTTTTTATGTCCGACTTAGAAATTTCACTTCAATTTGCTGCAATGCCTCTTGTAAGTCTGCTATAATTGTTGGCTGTCTTCGACGATTTCTCAAATGACGTTTCATCATGTGTCATACGTGCTCTATCTGGAGACACGGTAATGTCTCGGCGCTAAACCAAGCGCAGCGACACTGCTGTGCCTCCTTTACGCGAATCGACGAGTTGCGGCAAACTGAGACAATCGAATCTCGGTAACGGCTGAATTGATCAGGTTCTATATACGCTCAATCAATAGGCACCACATGGATTGTGTGATAAAAGTGCTTTTATTTTTCTTCTACGTGCCCTACAAGCGGAGATATTGCGATGTAAAGTTCTAAATGTCTGAATTTCATCATTGTTTTTAAGATACATCAAATCTTTGAATGAATTGTGATTAAATAACCACTACTTTAGTTGGAAGAGGAAATGTCTTTGAATGAATTGTGATATGATAATTTCAGAGGAATTTAAACCATTTGGATTGGAATAGGAAGATTCTTCAATAAGTATACTTAGGTTTCATTGTATAAAAATTAAAGATAGTACCATTTGGATTTAGTAAATAAT